ACACCTGCATGTTCTCCAGGGTTTCCCAGCTGAAATCTAAGCCTGTGTTTGCTGCTATGGCTCCGAGGTTGAGGTCCGGACCAAAGACATTGTTTTCTGGCGTGCTCTCATCTTGGCAAGGCAGAGATGAGCCTACCTACAATGCAGGGCTCATGGGAGCACCAACGCGCAGGTTCCAACCTGTTTCTCCATGTAGGTTTCATCTACCCCATGCCGCCAGTCTTCCTGTGTTCTTGAACTGGCTGACATCCTATTTCCTTATCTATAAAATGGATACATTTATAAAAAGTTGAGATTAAATGACAAAAATGATCTAAAAACAATTAGAACTATGCTCAGTATTAGTAAGTGTTCAGGGAAGCCAGCTGCCACACTTCATTATGGCAACAACTACAACCCTGTAACACACCGCACCAGGTGCTATGGGAAGCACCTGACATACACCAGCTCACGCAGCTCTCAGAACATATACCATGTTTATGACGAGGGGCTAAAGTGAGAGAAGCAAATGTGGGTTCACGTTGAATGTAATGAAGTTAAACTTCAGGACCCCCTCAATGAACAGATTCTGGGAGAGAAGTTGTTGGAACTTGGCAGTATTCCAGGTGGGAAGAAGCCAGGCTACAATGTGAACTGTTTTGTTGTTGCTGTTTTTTAAGACAGTCTCACTGTGTGGTTCAGGTTGTTCTTGAACTCATTCTGTAGTCAAGGCTGGCCTTGAAACGTCCAATGATCCTCCTGCCTCAGCCTCCCAAGTGCTGGGATTACCGGTATGCACCACCACATTTGACTGAGTCATTTCTTTTTCTGTCTTTTTTTTTGGTACTAGAAAGCCTGAGTCATTTCTAATAAACAAAACTGGTAATTGCCTTAAGAGCTCTCAGAAGAAAAGGTTATACATTTCCATGGCTCCAGCAATCTTTTATTATCTTATTCCAAATGCCCACTTTTGGATCTCAAGTTTTGGGTTTTTCTAAGTTTGCAAGCTTCCGGTTCCTCAAGCCTGGGAACACACAGTTTTATTCTTACCTTTTTACCTTACTGTGTCCTTGCTGGGTATATTCAAATTACTCACCCTTTACACGAATGGAAAGCATTCTTAAACAGAATGGCTATTTCTCTGTGTTCAGTAAGGGTGGCAGAGTCTTAATGGGCTGCAGAGATGTAAGTTTAAAAAGTCTTGCTAGTAACCTGAGAGTGAGGAATGGTTTGATGTTTCCTTTATAATTTGAATGTCTGGGAGAAGGGTAAATCAGCAATATATTTTTGTGATCTATTATAGTTGAACCTTTGATTTGCAAGAGTGATTTCAAAGTATTTTTTCTTTGCAGAGTATGATTGGTGAAGCGAAACAAAACCCAAAGACAAACAGCCTGCACAGGTTTTGCCACGGTACTCATTCCAATGGAAAGAACGAAATGGCAAAACAGTGGCTCCTTGTCCTTAAGAATCCTAGGGCGAATCTGATCATCTGAAATAGAAACGCAGCTATTTTTATACTCAATCACAAACTGGGAAGTCGCCAAGCTTTCATCTCAGCAAAGCATCTCCTTAGGAACTGGATCTAGAATTTATACTTCATGCTTTGGGAAAAGGTAAGTTCTGAGTCTTTTCTGTTCCAGGTGCTTTTTTCCTTTCCCTGAAGAACCTCTGAACTTAACTCTTGAGAGTCTTTCCTTTCTCCTCCTAGCAGAGGCGGCAAATGGATGGAGGAGGCTGGCAAGACTTTCACTTCTATGGCCAGCACTCAGGCTTCAGGATGAGGAGGACAGGTTGGCTGGTCAACAGTACCAGACCACGCTGCCTACGATTATTTGTTCAATTCTGAGCATGACGAGGTGCTCCTGGAAATGGGCCTGGGGCAGCAGCTTTGGATCTGACTTGATGCGTAGCAGTCAGTGGACAACAGGAGATGTCAAGATCCAAAATTGTAACCCACTTTTCAAAGCAGTTGCTTACTGCACACACGCACATGCACACGTTCTCTTCAGATGCAGCTGCCTCTGGTCTTCCACGTGGAGAACACTGGGGAAGCCTGTTCTTGGCCACCAACCTCGGCCCTTTATTGGCCCATTCCTATTTTGATGATGAAGAAAGTGTCAGGGAATGACTGTTCTAGTTCCAAATATTTTTTCATATATGGAAGCACACAGTTTTCAAAATGCAATAACCTGTGTCAGAAGCATCTGTTCAAATTCATTTCTCCATCAGCAACACTGACCCATTTTTACTATCAGAATTCTCTAAACAGTGCTGCAAAACAGGAGGTTCTCCAGCTGCTGGGCTGGGCTGGGCTGGGGGCTCCTTACTGGCAGAGGAGCCTAAGGGAGGACTGGGCACAATCCTGATCCTTACTGGGGGCGAGGGACTGTGAACAGAAGGAAAAGGAATAAAGCTATGTCTAAGGGGGACTGCTGATTGCAGAGAAAGATTTCAAACACCTCCTGGAAGAAAGGAATCAGAAACAAGCAAAGGTCATGCGAATCTATTGGTGCTAAAGGTAGAGGGAAAGCTGGCTCGCTTCTGGTCTCCAGGTGGACCAGGAGCTCCAGAGGAGGGAGGGTCTTTTCCCTTCCCTCAGAGGAAAGAATGGGTACAAAAACATGGGGCACAGCCAGGCCCACAGAGCTGTTCGTGACACCTCCCCTCCCTCACGTTACAAGAGAGGCATGGTGGTCTCAAGTCAATTCAGACAAAGAGAACAGTTTGAAAAGGATGGAACGATCTTAACTAGTTAACACAAATAATTAAATGTCAGGTACTTTTTTGAAATTAAATAGGTAGGTTGAAATATTTACTTAACCACTTGGTAGGCACTGGTTGCTGTGAATGAATGGAATACCTGTGGTAACTGAATCTCACTAAGGGGTTTCCAAGTGTCAAAAGTATAGACAAACTCCAATAAGAAATAATGAGACAGCCAACTCCCTTTGCAGTGCTAACCATATTTACCAAGCACCTGCTACAGGCTTTTACGGGTTACTTTTGTGTCCTAATTTTAGCTTTAGTTTCAAGGAATGTGTGATCTTTGAGAACACATAACATCTAAATATGGAACCTGCCTATATTCTGTTAAGATGATTCAAAATGCACAGTTACATAAGCTGGATTTCTTCACGAAGGAGGTTACAAAGTGGGGTTCCCTCAGTAATTTTAACTGTTTTTACTTCGATTTAATTACTTTAGAATGAGGTAACATTTTCTCTTTCAGGAACAAATCTGCCATAATAAAGATTACTCACGTATTCCTAAGTATTATTTAATGAACACCTAGGTACATACAAAAACCATGGTTAAGTGCTCCACTCGTCTGTCTCCCAAGGTCTCTAAGACTCAAAAGTGCATCCCTGTGACACCACTCTGAAGAATGCAAGCTGCTGTGTGGACAGTGATTGTATGTAGTATGTGGTACACATACATGTTATTTTACTACATACCTGAATGTGTCATGAACACACCCACTCATTCTCAAATACAGGAAGTTACAATGATCCAGGTCTGTTTCTTTAAAATCGTAACAGTAGCTACTGTCTCCAGGAGGCAACGTGCCATCAGTGTCCTGTTGTGCTCTGTACCATTTCCCTGAATCCTCGCGGTCACCTTGCAGGTGGGCATCCTCTGCATATAGAAGGTGAGGACCGTGGGGTCCCAAAACCCAAAGTTTCCAACAACTGAGCATTACTAGAACTGGAATTTGAATTCTATTTGCCTACAAAGCCTGCACACTCCCTCTATTCTCTGTAATATTCCAAAAGTGGAACATTTGATCAATCTACTCTAGTTAAGCCTCATTTATATAGTATGATGAAAAATCCACCAGCTCAATTACATGAGTAAAATCACTACTTTTCTGGCCAACTGAGAGTCCTCCGTGTGAAGAGCAGGCACAGCTCAGGCTGGGCTGGGCTGGGCTGGGTTCTAAAGGGCAGGCCAGGTGGTGCCTTCTGCACCCGGGCCTGACGCATGTCTTTCATCATGTAGCTTTTCAGTCATTTCTTTCGGTGTCGCTTTTCCCTGCTGTTCTTGTAATTTGCTGAGGCCTAATCAACTAAATAACCAAAGGCACTAGCATGGAATCTAAGGCAGTGGTTCTCAAAGGTCTGAGTCTGCAATTCTCCTGGTGAGAATGCAGAGGCGGATTCTTGGGACCCACTCCCAGGTGTTCCGATAAGTGAAAGAGGAACAAAGGCTTCAGGACTGCGAGTGCCTCATTCATTCTCCAGGGAGTGTGCGCTTCCATCATCGTGGACATTCTGGTCTACAGCCTGGTAACTGCAGATGTAGATCTCTCTCTCCTCTCCCTCTCTGCCCTCACCCTATTTGAGGGATTAAGTATATAGTTTCAATAACTTAACTGTATTTTCTCCCCTTTATTGGATTTACTGACTAAAATAGCAACAGAAGAGTCAGAAAGCACTACACAAATGACATTCCCTCACCCCCAAACCTTGCTTTAGTTCAAGATGTCCTGAAGAGCAGCATTATCTAGGCCTCAGAAACAGGCATTGGAACCCTGGCACTGAATCTTGGTTGACTGGTAAATAACCTAACCAATCTGAGCTACAATTTTTTGGCCTGTCTTTGAAATGCAGATAATACCTACTTCTTAGGGCTGCTTGCAGCTCGAGAAGAATGGGCAGCAAACATGTGGCAGGCACAGCATCAGTGAGGAATTCTTAGATCAATGTAGCATGTATAGGACTTCCAATTGTAACTGTCACAACAGTTTGGTGACTGAGGGAACCAGAGTTCATATAGCCCAAGAATTTACAGGACAAATTCAGTGATGCCCTATATAATTTTAGGAGATGAATAAAATTCACATACGCAGCACACTGTCCTTGCTTCAGCAACATTACAAACAGGTGTGGAAGTACTGATTTCCATGTCCCAACACTGGGCATGTGAAGAAACCAAGACTTTTCTAGCTTAAATATGAGAGACAAACCTTAAATACTTATAGTGAAATCGTATTACCTGGGTGGAAGAAATAGGCATACTAACATGAAAAAACACATTTTATTGCACTTAAGTTATAAGAAAATAAAATTTCTAAGTGAATCAAACCATAGACACAATCCCTTTAAAGGTTGTTTTCCTCCATCATGTCAGGCTGTTACATAACTAAAATTAACCAACTGGAATCTGATTGTTTTAAATCAGACTATAAATAAAACAACAACAACAAAAAAATAAACGGGAGGAGGAAGAAAGACCACCGAGGCTACAGTGTTAAACCACTTTCACAGTTCAGCTGGAGTTGTGGCTCCTGGAGAATGAGGCGAACCGTCCAACTGCCTGGCCGCGGGCTGCGGAGGCGGAGGCGGGCTCGCTCCGTCTCTCAGTTACTCAGAGCGAGGAAACTGTAACAGTTGTTTTCCCAAATACTGCAAAATGCTAAGACTGACCAGCAACTTTCATCTGTGTCTTCTATAGTTTTAAAATATTTTGTCAGTTTTACTATGTACGTTCATCCATTCACCACAGCCCTCAAAAAGAAAAGTTTCTCCACAGAACAGGCGGTAACAGCTCTGTTCCAAGGAATGTGTTTTAATTTTTTTTTTTTTTTGCCCAGATAAAAGAAAATAAGCTTTGCACACACTCTCAATTCTTTACTTGCAGGCAAACTTCACTCTTTATTATCTGAAACTTTTCCATGCTCAGCCTCTTAGAGGCACAGATGGCTCAAGTTTCAGTGGCAAAAAGTCTTTTTTCTGTAACCAAACTAGAGCAAATTTGGAATTCAGTCTGGGACTAAAACGTCACAGCAGAAAAAAAAATAAAAAAAAATAATTTGCTTTTTTCTTTCTTTCATTTAGCAGCATAAATAAGTTTGGCCACTGGGAGTACAGTACAGGGGTGGGCCAACAATCCCATATTTGAAGACCTACTTCTAGCACCAGCATCAAGAGTTAAATCCATCTCAGGACTCACAGAACCCAGGTCAACTTGCCACCTTTGAGCAACATATGCACTGAAGAGTGTATATGGAAGCAACAGGAAATAGATTAACAGAGGCTAATACTGTGATTGATTGACATTGGCAATGGTTGGCAAAAAAAAAAAAAAGCTTTTCATGATAACTGTACAAAAACAATTCACAGTAATTTTTCCTTTTTTTTTTTTAGCTTCTCCACTTCAGACTTGTTGCAGATGCTCTCTAATTAGAAAGTCAACCAGTATTTGTTTTGATATTAATGCAGCTCCTTTCTAGGTGACAGTGGTAAAAAGAACAGGCTAGCAGAATCTGCAAGGATGTTTCAGCATTAACACTGCCCAACGACCACTGAAGAAAATAAAGAAATAATTGCACCTGGTTTGATTTAGAAAGTCTCACTTTGCAAAGCTGCCCTCAGTCAAAAGTAAAGCCTTTCAGGTGAAGAGACAGCGGACCCTCTCTTGTCAGTTACGTTTGTCATCTCTTCCTCTTTCCTTCTTAAGTCTGTAGGTCTTTTCATTCTGTTGCCCCAAGCCAACATCCTGCACCACTGAGTACAAGGGATTTTTTTTTTTTTCATTTTCATTTTCTTTTCTCTTTTTTTTTTTTTTTTTCCTTTTTTTGTTTTTTCCACGGGGGAAGGACAGGGAGTGCATCTCTACACATCTGGACAGAATCCACCTTTCTTGTTCCTCACTTCATGTCCACATCGAAGTCCAGCACCAGCAGCTTGGTCTCCTCGGTCCCATTCCGACTCCCAACTGCACACACCAGCTTCGTGTTGGAGGCTCTGATCCGCCACACCACTCCCCCACTCCCCCCACTTTCCAATGTGACTAGGTTTCGAATAAATTCACCCGTTTTCAAGTCCCATAGTTTTACAGTTCCATCATCTGAGCTGGTAATTACAAAGTTCTTGTTGAACTGTAAACAGGTCACAGCACTCTGATGCTTGTTGGGACCTAGACAAAACCAAAGGAACTTAATTACTGGTTAAGAATTGTGGCTATGAGTTAGTTATATTGTAATTTGTAGCCTTGCACATTAAAACATACAATAAATGCAACATTTAAAATGCTGCATATTTAGAAACCCTGTGCTGAGTATTTTAGGATCAGCAAGGATGTCAGAAAATCTGGTAGCTATTTGTAACTGGAATGTTAACTCTCAATAGTCATCTTCCAGGAAGCCTGGTGAACTACCAGGCACACATTTGCTTTTCTGGTCGCATGAACAAGAGCTTCCCACAGCAATAAAGACAGCACAGCCACCTGGACTCTGAGGTGGACAGGGGAGGGTAAGAGATCCATTACCCTGCCCCTCTGTGCCAACCAGCCAAAGAGAAAGCTAATGGACACTACCTCAAACTCTGAGGTTAAGCCAAGGAATGAACAGTGCAGAGGTGCCCACCACTTGGCCTCACTAAAAAACTGAGGGGAGAGACCAAGAAAAGGCAATCGCCTGCCTGGCAAGCACAAGGTCCTGAGTTTGATTCCCAATATGAAAAAGAGCGGGGAAGGACAATCGCTAAGTCAATGCTGTTGTGTCTCAGTTAATAGTAATGATTCTCACATGTATCTTTTTGTGTGTGTCGGAGGACACTACTATTCCTTTCCATCCCAGTTAAGCAGGGGGCTCAGTTGTGGCCAAGACGATTTTCTATGACATTCTTAAATTCAAAGTAAATGGCTATGCTGCTTCTGTGAAACAGCCAAGATCTTTTTTCTCAAGTTGTTTAGGGTGACACAGACTCAACTGAACATGCAGGAACAGAAGGAACAAGTAGAAGGGACACATAGGGATATAAGTAAATTTGTATTAAAAATGCAACTTGCAATTTTTCTCAAGGCAGCCTGGTTCCACAGGTCAGAGTGGAAATGCTCACAGACTTACCTGGGGGAGGCACTTTGTATAAGGTTAGCCCTTTCTGATGTGAAAGCTCCACCCAGATTTCCCTCTTGAGTAACAATAAAGTTTTAATGAATACAACTGAAGATGGGCCAATTCTTACCTTGCAATGTCTGTAAACACTGTCCTGTTTTGATATCCCAGATTTTAACTGTAGAATCTGCATTCCCAGAGACAAGAATATTGTCTTTGAGTTCCATTCCACTTGTTAACGACTGGTGCCCTGTTAATGTGTGTATGCAATTCCCTGTCTCCACGTCCCAAACTCGGATTGATGTATCAAGAGAGCCACTCACCACATGGATGCCATCAAACTACAAGAGACACAACTTATTAGAATAGAAGAATGGATATACTTCTTATCAATTATTGACCTTAGTCCCAATATAAAGGCAAATATGGCAACAGACTAACACCAGGAAAAATATGAGGGCCTAGGATAAAGCGCATGCCACCAGGCAACTTTACAATGCACGTGGTTAAGACATTTCTATCAGAAATGTGAATTTTCTATGCCCAGTAGCTTCAAACTAGATGCAGAAACAAAAAGGAAATGAAACAAAAGCAAACAAAAAACCACCTCAAAAGCCTGAAATACCATTATTTTCCAATCATCTGCTTCCACCCAACAGCTTATACCAGGATGGTTCAGTGAGGACTGCCGTTTGGCTACTTCTCCATAAGAAGCTGAAACTAATGACAACAGCTTGTGATAAAAGGGTGTGCTTATCAGCACCTGAGCATGAAAAGGGCTCAAGATAACTTGCATGATGTTCAAAGGCTAAGTTCCCACTAACAACAGTATGTAAAATGAAAGTTTCATTTACAAGAATCCAACGCTAATTAGGATATGTGCCAAAATTATGGTTACAAAACCAAAGCATGCAACATCTCCTCCAGCTTTCCAGCTAAGTAAAAGCCAATCAGCATCTATCAATTCCCAGAAGATTATATATATATATATATATGTATATACTCTTTTCTGAGTAATTTAAGATTACAGTTTATTAAGGTTCTGAGCATATCACCAAACATCAAAGCAACTGCAGCCAATTCCCTTTCCTTCAACCTTTTCTAATTTAACAACTTTATTATACATCAATATTTAATGACATGGACAGTATCCTATATATTAAGAAATACTCTCAGAACAGCAAAGTCAGCATTGGGATTATGTACTAATTTGCTGATCATTAAAGGACAGTAGCTAGCAAATAAACTATGTAATTAGTGGGATATATTTTTAAGAAATTGAATAGGCTGCCTTTCAGGAAATAAACTAAACCCAATTTATAAATCTATTAGTCTTCTTAATGATCTTTAAATATGACAATCTATTGGTGGGTATCAGGTTCAAATGTAAACAGAGTCAGGTTTGTCGGATCCACGTCCTTAAGCAGACACATCAGTGGGCCTGGGACAGCGCAACGGCTTCCTGTAGACGGGCTCTGCCTCCACACTAAGCAGGGCTGGAACCACAATTACATGGCCCATCAACTTCCAGCTATCAAGGTGAACTGGAGCTTGTGGCCAAATTAATCCTCTGCTAAATTTATTGAAGTCCAGGTGAATCTCTTATGAGACTGTTTATTAATTAACATAGCAAACCAAGAGCCCCGAAGTCTCAGGTGCCAAGACAAATATTTGTATTTTATAGAGAAAATTGAAATCACAGAAATTGAAATCATTAAACCATTTAAGTGATTCTGAAATTCAGGGCTTCTTCACATCCATTTCCAAGTGCCAACAATGAGTGGATTGAGTGGATTCACTGTTCTGGATGAACTGGATCAGCAATGTGACAGTGATCATCAGAAAGACACAAGTGTGTGACTCACGGCCAGAGCTTCTCCGGGACAGGAGAGGCATGCTCGCTTACCTGTAAGGAATAGACCCGATTGGTGTGGCCCTGCAGCGTGTGCAGACAGGTCTCAGTCTCAGGATCCCACACCTTCACCATGAAATCATATGCTCCGCTAACGACCCTCCTGCCATCGTACTGAACGCAGCGGACTGCTGCCACATGACCCATCAAGACATGTAAACACTGGCCAGTCTCGATATCCCAAACCCTAAGCGTGGCATCTCGAGAACCACTGACAACTCTGTAGGGGAAGAGAGAATAAATGTACAAAGTAACTTTCAGCAGCATGAGCAACAGAGATGAAGCCAGTGGTTTTTAAAGCTCTCCCCTCCTTTTTTCTTGAGCATTTAAAGCTTCCCCCTCCATTTTTCTTGTTTTCTCAAGAAGTCCTATGTAAACTTTGAAATGAAACACACTACGGAGTGATTGTGGTGGAGACTGGAGGTGGGGGGGGGGTGCCTATAGTCCCACCCAGAAGGCTGCTTCTCTGACATGTGGACTTTGCTTGTAGCTCCATGAGGTTCTGTGACTTTGTTGTCCTTGCAGTGCTGGGAATGGAATTCAGTGCACTGCCCATGCTGAACAAGTGCTCAGTCCCTGAGGTATCCCCTCAACCTGTGAGCTCCTGTGGAACAGAGTTTGAGAGCTACTGTACTGTACTGTACTAAAAAAAGAAGGTGGTTGTCAATATATAAACATGATTCCGACAATGTGGGCACATGTGTAAGGCGGGAAGGGGGCAGTTATTACTTAAAACAACTTAAGTATCTTCTTCAAGTTGTCATTTTCCCAATTTTCAATTAGGAACACATATTACCTTTGTGATTAGGTCGAACAGTCAATAAAATTTTACAGCAAAACATTTTCGAATCAGAATTTGGGGTTTAAAAACCAACAGACTGTTCCTATGACATATTCTGGTAAAATTAACTAGTTTTAGGTATTTTTCAAACAAATGTTGCTTATGTTGTTAACGCTTAAATTTACAAATACTAGGCAATGGGACTGTTAAAATACACAGATGTATTAAAGACATCTGTGAAGCAACAGAAACCCCTAGCCCATCATTATTAAAGTTATACTCTTCTGGAAACCACAGTAATACAAATAATGCAATTATCTCTGGACTACAAAACAAAGTTGAAAATTCAACTTCCGTCATTCCGAAGAGAGAAAGTGTCATAGTTTCCACACGGGAGCACAGAACACTAAAGCATGAGAGTTAAGCCACAACATGACTGTGACTGAATCACCAGGTTTCCTGACACCCATACTCTGTAGGTCTCAAAGCCACATGGCTCACCTTTTAAAGCACACTCAAATCCCAAGGGAAAGGTACTCTTGCTCACACATTACAGATCTATGGTGAAGTTCTGACTACTCGATGGTTTTTGGTAAAGAACTAAAGGTGTAAGAGTGCAAGAGGATTCTAGAAGGTCCTACTGTGAAGAGCCTTTCTATATCATTAACAAATGAAGTAGAAAACACATTTGTTTAGCAGAGGTACAGTGAAGGCACGTCAATAGGAAGACAAGGTTTTAACAGAAGGGCATGATGGGAGGAGAAAAGAGCAACAACAGTGAAGGAACTAAGAAGGAAACGGCAAGCGGTCTGGTTTGGCTGAAATCATTTTGAAAATTGGATTCTGGATTGAGGATTTCTTCCTTAACTCAACAACAGCTGGCTGCCAACACTGAACAGGCCAGGGATGCCATCGTAATTAGAGGGCTCCCTCACTGCGCCCGGGTCTGAAAGCTGTGGCGACAGTTCCCACGACAGGTAATAAGGGAGAAATGAATGCTCCCAGAGCGCTGTTTTTGCCTAGATTTGGGGGTTACGACAAGAGTTGAGCAGGTCATTAACAGGACTCAGAGGCTTGAAAGCCTGAGTGCCTGAATGGGTCCCACTTGCGGAAATATAGTATCAAGAAGAGAAAATGATTTTTGTTTGAAGGTGATGAATCATCAGACAAAAAGGATTACTAAGAGTTTCAAGAAAGCAGCCCACAACAGATCAAATGAAAGAAATTCAAAGACAAGTCTGCAACTCCAAGCCAAGACACAATGGCTCTCCTTGTTTACAAACATTAAAATCTACTTTAAAAAATCAGTATCACTGTATCGGTAATGGTTCATGAGCGAAGGACAGAGTCCCAAGCACAACAGGGATTTTCCCGTACCTTTTTTCATGCAGATGCATACAGCGCACAGTGGACGTATGCCCGTAGAGGGTGTGTATACACTCCCCAGTCTCTGCATTCCACACTTTGAGAGTCCGATCTGTGGATCCACTGATGATGATATTGTCTCTCATCTGTGATGACCAGACTCCTCCTGTATGTCCCACTAATGTTCTCAGACACTGGAAAAACACTTTAGATGATTAATTTTGGGTAGAAAGTTATTTAAGCAATATTTTAATAGATCATTAAAATCTGGAATAAACTATTAAGTGAATTTGATCATCAGAAAATATTTTGTGTATCATCATGACATGGTCCAATCACTATTATTTGTTTAGCTTATTCAGTAGCATATGCACTTACACGTGTACACAAACTGAGGAACAAATATGTAGAAGGCAAATATGATCGGAAATTCATGTAAGAATCACATGATATAAACACAGCGTGACAGAGAGCAAATGTACGAGGAATGCAACGTGCTGTAGCTCCTGGCCAGCCTCCTTGATGAAGTAAGACTGAAACTACAACTTGGGTTGTTGGACAGAAATAGACACATGAAAGGAGGTCCACAGACTCGGGTGTGGCTCTCACTGAATCTGCCCTAAGGTGGTAGTTAGGAGCTGGCCCAGCCACCACTAAACAAGTAAGGACAGACATTACAACCCTGAAATGAATCCAAAACTAATATTATGCCATGAAATATGAAGCTGCTTTTGAAAATTTTAACATCTGACTTCTAATATTTGCAAGATGCTTGTCCAATAAGCAGTATGGTAAAAGACTTTTTTTAAACATGAATTTTTTTCACATTTTTTTCTCTATGACTTTACAGGTAGCCAATTACTTAATTCATGACAGATAAAAATAAATAACTACAAGAGAATCATTCATGTACAATAGTGTATGAAGTAAATCTATTCCTTGGATGGCTGCTTCAAAGCCATATTTAAACGCCTCCTTTGCTTAACTTTCACATCACAAGGATCTGAGGTTAACTCTAGATTAACATAATCTTAACTTCTAAATTATTGGTAGCTTATTAACAACGCAGTTTATAAGGCATAATAAATGTCTATCATACTTCTGAAAGACATTAAAACAAATGAAGTATATCTTGGATGGGAAAAAGTGAGCCAAGAAAAAGATCAATCTGAAAATATCTAAAATACTGAAATCACAGGGATAAACTATTTAAATGAAGGAAACAGCGAATGACATCCTTATCATGGAACACCATTATCATCCTGCCAAGGCAACTTTCACAAACATGGGGGAAAAGGCTGAGCCAGAAGCCCTGATATTTGCTGTTGTAATATGAGGACTGAAAATGAATCCATTTACTGGTCGATGCTTAGGGAGATAAACTCAAAATGGTAACTTTATGAAAAGCAGAAAAAAGTAAACGTACTTTGCCTGTGACTGCTGACCAGACTTTTAAAGTGTTGTCATCAGAACCACTGACTATCCGGTTCCCACAGAACTGCAAGCATGTGATCACGTGATCATCATGCCCTTTCAGCACCTGTAAGAGAGATGCACAGGTCAGGAAGGTGTCACTGTGTTGACATTCTTTAAAATACTGGTGAAAAGAAAGATGGAGCCATTGCGCAGAGACAGTAACCCTTAGTCTATTTCTAGAATAGAAATGTATATAAAATAAACTGTCATCCTTCCTGGCTGATGAATCAATCTTAAACACTTTATTATTTCCATATTCTATTATTTCCATTTCAAACACCTACCATTAAAATTTTACTAAGTCAAGATCTCATAAAGATGGCTCAAAAGCAAGTATATTTTATAATCATCTATTTTACATTTAAACAAAGTAACGTGTCATATATACATGAGAACTTTTAACAGACAAGAACAAAACACCTAATTACAAAGATGAACTTAAATGAAAAAATCTGCCACAATATATACATATCGTCTCCTCAAATTGTTTTTCTGTTATAAAACTAACATCTAAGAATTTCAAGCATTTTTACCATTCTTTGTATACTTGAAAGGTTGTAAGAAAGAAAATCAAGTTTATGTGTCAATTTATAAAAATAAAACACAGAAGTCACCTAAACCCCTCAAAAAAAAAAAAAAAAATCATGTTCAGGCAATGTGATCAAGAGGGAGCTCTAAATTCTTAGAAAGGATACAAGGCACAAGGTGAAAGCATCAAAGATGTATATAAGTCATTTCATTTTTCCTTCAAGTAAATTGTCAGATTACAAAATTTAATACTAAAGTAGTATCAGTTATATTTTGTTACTTTAATGCAGTTTCCGTTCCACTGAAGATAGGTATGGAGCTACACTGCTTGCCAAGAAGTGAAGCACTGCATTAGGTAAGACCACTGACTCATGGCTTCTGTTACATCATAAGCGCTCAGTTACCTTCGGAGATTTGAGTTCTCCTCGCCTCCAGTTTGTATCGATTCTGTGCTGCCTGATGTATGCACTTTTCCATGGACTGTGTATGAAACCTGGCTTTATTACTTTTCTTCTCTTGATGTGCAATGGTTCATCAATCCCTGAAGTATCAAAGAATTCAAGAGAATAATTCCCTTTATCAATAATAAAGATTATACATTTAAAAACATATTTCATCTCCCTCTATGCTTAAAACCAGTAAGATACAGGACACAGTCCAATTTCTGATACTGTTACTAAGAAATGTAACAATCCTGTGAAATGGGATTCTGTATGGCACATTTTTGTATTTATTACTTCATTTCTTTCTAAAAATGATTCCAGGAGATGTTGGTGAGGATGTGCAGAAATTGGATTGTTTGTGCACTGCTTGAGTAAATGTAAAATAGTGAAATGAATGTAAAATAGTGTGGGAAAAACAGTATGCTGGGTCCACTGGAAAATTAAACATAGATTTCACTTATGATCGAGCGATCCACTTCTTATCACAGCCCCAAAAGTATAAAGGAAAGAGACTTGGATAGGTAACTGTGCACTTGTGCTCATAGCAGTACGCTTCACAACAGCCAAAAGGCAGAAGCAATCCAAGTGCACACTGGTGTGGTAACACTCCGTCATGGAGGAAGTTTTCCTTAAGAGAGGAAATCCTGACAACCACCATGACATGGACAAACCGTCCAGTCAATATGTTAAGGGAAATGAAACAGTCTCAAAGGGGCAAACACTGTATGACTTTACTTATCTGAGCTACCTAGACCAGTCCAACTGACAGGAATAGAAAGTGGTTGCCAGGTCCTAGGGGAAGGAAGATTGGGGAGTTAATATAAAACACTCATGGACTTCCAGCTAGGAAAGAGGAAACACTTCAAGAGGCAACTGCTGGTGACTAGAGCACAAAATGTGAATGTGTTAATTTCCTGAACTATACACTTAAAATTGTTTCACTAATAAATTTTGTTACTACAATTTTCAAAAAACCATTAGAAAATGACTCCACGAGAGAGGTGACACAGATGATTGATCCTACTTTACACGGACACTGGAGAAGGAAGGGTCAGGGGCTAACCCAGGCAGGAAGTCTGGCGAAAGCAAATGAGAAACCAAGGACGCTAGATCTTCACCTGAAAGTTTCAGTAGCCAGAACTGGCCATCAGTGTTCCCCACCCGACCTCCTGATACCAAGGGCAGGATCATCCACTGGGTACCTGCAGCCCTGTGATTCGTTTAGAGAAATCTTGCTTCTTAGAGGTAACCAGTATTTTTATGTATTTTTTTTTGCCAAAATGATTATTTTATATATGTTTGCTGGAAAAAAACACTTAATATTGATGATGCCTATTCCTATACAAGAAAGAAGATCTTAAAACAAAATTTTTTAGGAGCAGAAGCTCCACAGTAGGAAGACAATGGCAGAACATCACTATGGTTAAGAAAGTCAGCTGGACATTGTGGCACATGCCTGTGGTCTCAGTACTCAGGAAACGGAAGCAAAAGGATCCAGAGTCTGAGGCCAGCTTGGGCTCCACAGTGAGTTCAAGTTGAGCTGGCACTATATAGTGAGACTGTCTCACCAAATCAAAACCAAATCAAACCTAAGTTCGGCTCATAGCAGGTGTTCAATAAATATTTCCGTCAAAAATGAACATAACATTTAATATCTGATAATATACCTTTTTTGTTTCCTTTAAATTGTCTTCATCTTGACTCTTTAGCTACTGGATCCAAGCAGGTGAATGTAAATGAAGACCCAATCTTTGACAAGCTGCTGAAGTTCCCCCTTTCCACCTATTCACCATTATTTCACTTGCACATACAATCTACTCTGATTCTGTGCACCTATTTTCAGAATTACACTGCTTTTCCAGAGTAGCGGCATGCTCTCCATGCGAGTTTGAACCTTACCCTCTTCTTTACATTTCTCTCTCCAGAGAAGGTTGTCTTCAGCCAAAATTCTCCAGTATCGACATGTCTGAGCTGCTTGTAGCAGATCTTTGGGTTCCAGAAATGAAAGCACGTAAAGTGCCAGCTATGGGAAAGAAAAAAATGCATGGTACACCCTTATTTTAAAAAAACCTGAAGAAGTAATTATTCTCGGTATAAGATACTTACATATAAATATAATTCTACATTATAACATCTAAATTTATGAAAGGTAGTACATTCAATATTTACAAATAGACATTACAAACAAATGCCTTACGGTTTTTTTGAACATCAATATTTCTGCATCTTGAAGGAATACTATTAATTATGTCTCTACCTTTGCCTTTGTTCTGAGTATCAACACATTTTATTTTGTACTTTATTTGTTTTTCCTCCTTTGTATAATATAATTTCACTAGTTGCTTGCCCCAGCCTGACTGATAAGAAATAGGGTTTTTACAGGTTCTGCATGGTATAATTTCAGATCACTTGTTAGATAAGTAGATCTTCATCCCATCAAAGTGTTTCCACAATGATAAACTTTGGAAACATTTATACACTTAACATCCAAGACAATTATTAAACCTCTCCACAGACATAGACAATTAATTGGGTTCTAATTACTTTATGGTGCTTATAGAGATTTTCTTGAGGGGCCAAAAAGACTTACATATTTGAGGCAGCTCTTCACCACACCACTGATTTAAAAACTTTGTTTGTAATATTTACAAACCATCATATTTCTCACTGTGCATAGTCAACTCCAGTTAAGAACGGGAAAGGAAAGAAGTAGAATAACAAACTGATACATATAAAATCAAATTATGATATAACAATAAAAATGTATGTAAATAGAGCAATTAAGTCCAGTTTTCATAAACTAAATGACAAAGAATAAATCAAATTATCATATGAAGGGCCAATGATCACATAGGGAGTGAAAGTACAACTTGCATGGTTTTTTGAAGTTGAACAATTATATAAATTACTTCTTCCCAGTGACTCCACATATGTACAGTTCACCATTAACCTCCTATTTATTGAGTACTTTCCATGTACAAAGTATCACCTCGCCAATATTCACTTTACTTTAACACTACTATTGATGAATGAGAAACTTTTCATGAAATAACTGTTTCTATCAGAGAAGCACATTCAGTATCATAACTTCATAATCATTTACAATAAAAAGGCATATTCTATAAGACATAAATGTATGTGTATATGCACTCAATAGATTTTTTAATGGGTATTCCATAGCTACTTAATTTTGAAAATATCAATCAATCAAAAGCTAGGCAAGTTTGCTTATTAGTTCAGTGTAACAGTAATGTGATATCACCATATTACCAACCTTGTGAAAACTGTAATCTAACACAAATGTTACCAGGCACAAAGATATTTACACAACAGATGCTAACTAATGCCCAAGATCCTTATAATGGCTAGATGTGGTGGCACATGCCTGTAATCCTAACACTCAGGAGGCTGAGGCAAGGGGGTTACCGTGAGTTCGAGGCCAGCCTGCGCTATGAAGACAGTTCCAGGCCAGCCTGAACCACACAGCAAGAAACTGTCTCAAAAAAAAAAAAGAAAGAAAGAAAGATTTATAATGGTCATATGAAAAATTCTATTCTTTGCTTTCATTATCTGACTAAAGTAGCAAGAATCAGGTAATTCAAAGACTATGACATAACAAGTCTAGAACTTCACTTTAGATTTCAAAGCAACAGGTTAAGATTTCCTCCATTAACAAGAAATTAAGAGATCCTCAAGTCCAGTGTCTGCATGCATTTAAGAGAAATGTAAAGCGATGGTCAGGTCCTAAGGAAAGTTAAAGCAGAGCTCCACAGCTAACAGCACACTTTCCTATCAGGCACGAAAGTCTCTTGACCATGAACTTCGGCTTATTAGTGGGCCTATACAGTACCTATTTACTTCCATCAAACAGAAAATGGGGAGTGGGGGATGGGGGGGTGGAACAAGGAAAAACCATATCAGCAAAGGGAAAAAGAAGTACACAAATTCTGGCAACAATGGTGTGATTTTTTTTAACTAATCTGCCAAATGGAAAGGGAAGAGCAACTCATCACATGATTCTACTTATGCATTACAGCAAAGTACATCAGTCCCTCAAAGGAAAGCAGGTCTGGTCTTGCAGGGCTCTGAAATGGGACTGGAAGTCTGTGTTCCCTAAAACTGATAAAATTCTAACTCTGAAACTTTGGGAAGTGGGGCCTTTGGGGTTGATTAGCTCATGAGAATGCAGTCCTTAGGAATGAGACTGGTTCCCTATAAAAGGGACCCGAGAATTCTCATGCCTTCTTTCTGCCATATCAGTTGAGGACACAAGTCAATAAAAATCTACAAACTGGAAACAGGCCCTGACCTCAAACTTCCTAGCTTCCAGAACTGTGAGAAATAACTATCTTTTTTTTTTTTTTTTTAAATTCTATAGTACTTTGCTATAACAAGCAAAGAAGGACAAGCTCCTTCTAAAGGAGACAGAGATCCAATATTGTTCTTTAAAAATAGCCAGCACTTCTCCAGGATTGTCATACTTCAGTGGACTCAGTCAACAACAACAACAACCACAATGTTAGCTAGCCCTGTGTTATAACCCAGCCTTCTCACTAGGAGCCTCCTGATGTTTACTCTCAGAATAAGCAATGTGCTAGTTATGTTTGTCACATGAGACTAGTGCAAACGTTATCATGGTTTTTGAGTTTACTAAGTAGATGTCAGTAAAGAGCTCTGAGATCTGCTCAAAGGAATTATATAAAAAAAAAAATACTCTTAGGTCAATCTCCAGACATGAACGTAATGTGGTTTTAAGTAATGATCAAACTGAATTTTTGATCAAAGTGCTAATTTACTTGAGGAGTTACATTCATAGTATTATTTGTTCACATATAAAATATTTTTCAAATTCGGGAACTTTTTCTAGTATTTGTAAACAAAAAAACAACATAGGTGATATTCTGAGGCAGGGTTCTCTCCCATTTTCTAATTTGGCTTCATCCCCCCCCCCCCCCGGCAAGATTTTTAAAAAACACCTAAGAGAATTTTTAGTGGATTCATCCACATTATTGACAATTTGTGCTCAGTTCTTAAGACTCTATAATATTTTCAAATTCTACTGATTTTAAACCCTATTTTTTTGTGAGCTAAAACATTATTACAAAATTAAAATACAGCAAAACAAAACAATATGAAAAAACCCCACCATTCCTAGAGCTAAACTAGACTACTAAGAAAGTACATTTAACAAAAACCTTACTTTCTAAAATTAGGAGATATAGCTATCTAATATACATATATATATATATATATCTAATATATATAACATATTAGATTTATATAAATAAAATCAGGGAAGGTATAAAAATGTATCAAACTATCAGATATCTCAAACTATCAAAAGTGGATAAATTCACTTTCAGTGAAATATAAAAGTATTTCCTATTATTAATTCTCTTCTGGAAGGAAAGAGAGCTTCTATCATTTTTCATAAGCCAAATTTATTCAGAGTTCCATTTCAGAAACAGCTAGCAAGAATGAATATATATATAGCTTTTTAAAAGCAGCCTTAAAAAAATCATTTCAGAAAAAAGATTATTTAAAAAATTGTTTGCTTTTCCCTGAAGTAATGCTTAGTTTCATACACTAATTATAAAGCTATTTTACTCATATCTAACATGAAATTATAATTGGGACCATCTTTAATGCCATTAGAATATTTAGAATGATTATCTGAAAAAAAAAAATTTACTTCTTTTTGCATTTCAAGCTTTAGGACCATATTTATTATATGTAATTTTTTAGTTATTAATATGATTAGTAACCACTTGTGAAAATATAAATCATGGAGAAACTGATTATTTAATGTTATAGTACTCCTGTTTGCCAACAAAATAAAACTAGGAAGTCTATATCAGTAAGAGCATTACATCTGAACTATGCTTTATTTTTATAATTATCGGTTTCCTTAAAAATTTAAAAATGAGTATAGGTATGTCCAGAAGTGCCATAAGAATGAAATCAGCATGGGAGCCTACATGTTTAACAGATGGAAGAGGAAGGTAATCAGCAGAAAAGACACATGCACGGTACTCTGTGCTGCTCTGGTACATGGAAGCCACGTGCTGTAAGTACTGTGGTGCCTTGGTTCACCCATTTAATTCTTTCCATGATTCAGGGCAAACCAAACTGGGCCAGAACCAATTCAAATTTTCCCATCAGGTCAAAATTGAACCTAAAATCTTTGTGAAGAAACAATCTAATGAATCAAACTCAAAAAGTTACTCTATTGTATATTATCAATTTAATAATAGTTCTAGAAAGAAGCAACTTAGTCCCTCAGCATACTTTAATTTGACAATCACATTATTAAGTAATTGTTTAAGTCTTCTTTACTACTAATTACAAGTGTGAAACTGAAAACACTGGATAGCATGATTAGCATGATAATGGACAGTGGTAGCTGTTGAGTTGTACACCGTAATCCCACCCAACTTGTGATCCTTACCTCTTTAGGGAGCAGGGAAATGAAGTCTCTTTGAAACTGAGGTTCTATCACTTGCATCATATGTTTTACTTGTGTTGGTTCACAACTATCAATGAGTTCATCTAAAGCAAGCAATTTTTCTGGTCCACTCCAGCTCTATCAAAGAGGAATTCAAAATTATTACCATTTTAACAGAGGTCCCAAATGCTAAATTCATATTAAAAAAAAAAAAACCACACCCATAGACAACAATCATATTCCAACAAGGCAAGAGTCTTATAAAAAGTGACTGAATACGGTGACATTTTCTACAGAAGTCATTGCAGTGATGGTGCCTTCTCATCGTTTATTAACTACCTCTATTTTACAAAAGCTTTTCAAAATATCGTAATTTTGACTGAAAAAAAGTTTGCACATTATTGTAATAGCTGTTTGAGATGCCAAAATTTTATTCCAGAAACAACAGTTTGGATTACTGAGTATTGTAAATAGAGAATGTGATGACTATTTCAAGTGGGTACAGTAAAATTTGATGGTTTTTGTAAGTCATCTACCTAAGTGTCAGGAGATCAGCAGCCTCATTCACAGAAAGACTAAGGCCCAGACTGTGCATGGCGGACAAGGGCCTTCTACATGCGGAAACAGCTGTTTCACCAAAATAATTTCAGATTTAAAAATAGCCAATGAAAGACAGTACCTGACTTGGTAGTAAAATTAGAATATAAGCGAAGACTAAATAAGAGTAAAAAATAAAGTGCTGAATTACAGAAATGCAAAAAATACATAATTATACTTCAAAAATATAACAACACTTAGGGATTACTTTAAAAATCTCTTTTCATTTGCAGCGAGGAACACCTGCACACAAAAAAGCTAGGATTCTAAAAAGGAAAAACTTAGAAGTCATATGAATAATTTAAAATGTTGAGGTTTCACAACAATCATACAAAACATGTAAAGAGCCTCATGATAAGAGAAAAAAAAAGTCTTTGAACAAGCTTTTGTTTCTGTAAATCCAAGCTGATTTATATACTTTTGTGAATTATTGCATCCCTTTGGAAATGAATGAACAGAGAATAAACAGGTGAGGTTTGGAGCTCGAAAAATCTGAACTTTGACAATTCTATTTCTTGGTCAAAAAACAAACAGTTGCTTGGGCCCATGTAAAATATATTCAAAATAGTTTAAAGTATTTTTGAAAGTATCTACCTTGTTAGAATCTCCAGTGAACTTCACCTCTTCTCTCGTATCATAAACTATGAGTTATGGTGCTACTACAAAACATTTTCAACAGTATTCCTATAACATACATTCAACTTACCACTAATGCAAGAATCATAGGCTCCAATAAATTTGGGTCCTTTCCTCTTACTACTACATATACATACACTGAGAACATTCATCTTGAGTACTCACTTTGCATTCTTTAGTCAGAATGAGGATTTACAAATAAAATGCTCCTAAGTACGTGTATGTACATACATGATCAATCAAAAGTATTTCATTATATTTTTGCCTCATATAACTTCAAATACTGGCTCAACTATGTACTATATACATGTACTAATAAAAATAAAAACTAAAAGAAAAAAAACCACTGGTTTAAACTTACCTATTTGATAATCTGATCAATCTCCACTTTAGTTAGTATCAACAGTATGTTGCTCACTGATTTATTTATGTCCCTCACAGAATGAGGTGGGTTTTCATAATATGGTCTTCCTCTCCATCTACATCGTATTTGTGGAAACTATTACTGTAAGAACAGGTCCATTTTGAGTGATGGACAACTATGCTGACTCAAAATGCAGCTTTAATTAAGGCATTTGATAGAATAATTTTAGTATAAACCTCTTTATCTCCATATATATGAACATCTGGTCTAAAATACTTTTTGGAATATTTTTGGATTTTGGATTTTTTTTTCATTATTACTTACATGAATAGATTTTGTATTTCTAGTATAAGATGTTAAATTGTACGTTTCATGTTTTTTCAATTAATTACTGCTTTTTAAAAATTTTGAAAAACATTACAATGAACAATATATAAATGATAATAGATGCGAAGTATCTTTTCATCAAATCTTTTAGATAGGGAGATAAAATAGAAAAATAAACTAGAAGATAAATATTAATTCAGACCTTGAGTAGATGCTTGAAACTGTGTCACAAATTTCTACATATTTAAGACAAAGTTTATGAAAAGAGATGACTGTCTGGTAAGCTGTTTCTATTACTTTAAAGTGATACTGTTCTAACTGTATATAAATAAGACAGCTTCCATGGACCACACAGATTCAACAGTCTAATTGCTTAAAATCACATCTCTTGGTGAGCTCAACAAAGGTCTTGGCCATTCAGATAGCTTCCTTCCTGCAGCCTGGACCTCTTCCCTGAACTTCAGACCTGTGCATTGAACTCCTTCCTCAACACCTGCCCCTGGGTATGTAGTGGACGCAGTATAAAGTCCATGATGCTCTCTCCCGATACCCACTTCCAGTCTTCCTCACTTCAGTAACAAGCAAATAAAGCAACATGTTGTATTTAATGTCCAAGCCCCAAATTCTAAGTCATCTCTGACTCTTTTCTCACTATCAGATAGGTCTGACTCTAACCAATTCTATGGCCTCCAGTTTCAAAACACATTCACAACCTGAACATTACTACACTGGTTTTGGATACCGTATCAGTGTGGGTCACCTAGATTATTCCTAACAGGTCTCCCAGCTTCCTACCTTTGACCTCCTGTTCTGTTTTCCACACTGTACTTGGTGACTGTGAGAAATCACTCTTCTGCCTAAAACCTTCCAGTGACTTCCCATTTTAGACAAATAAAAACCAAAGTTTTTGGGTTGGCCCACAAGATCCTAAGTTCCCTATTACTTCCCCTCTTATTTAGTCTCCTCTGCCACATACATTCTTTCTGGGCCTCAAACTCTCCAGGCATTCTGTGAGTCACAGCCTTCTCGTGTGCTGGGTAGCTGGCATGTTCCACCCGAGACACCCACAGGCTTGCTTCCTCCCTTCTCTGTATGGACAACCTTTCCTGCTCTGGGCAAGAACTGAACCTTTTAAAAGCTGCAAACCAGTTCTAACTCCAATCTACTCATTTCTGTCTAGAACATAAGTTCTATGCCAAAACAGTTTTTGTCTGTTTTATCTATTACTGTGTCATAGACTCAAAGTTAAATCCTAGCACAGAGGAGGTACTTAAAAATATCTGTGCACTAAATGAATAAACTTCAAAAGTCTGGACTTCACTATAGTAATTTTATCTCAAAATTCCTTGGTTTCCATTCTTTATATTGAATGACATCACTAGGACTTGTTTGCTCAGTCTGGCTCCAAGAGCAGTTTCACATTTTGTATACATATGAGACTGATCAGTAAGGAAACTGAAAACCTCGAATGAGTATAATAAAATAAAAAGAACAACAAACTATAGTACCCTTTAATAAGGAACAGTGGAGAGAGCGCTGAACTCAGTTTTAGAGGAGATACTGTAATTAAGGCTACAATGTAACCTCACAGGCCTTAGTTCCTTTATCCGGAAAAGGACACTGGTAGATGAACTCTGATTATTATTACCTTACTTCCGTCTGCAGACTAGTTGACCTTGAATAGGAAAAAGCATTTCTTTTGGCTTTTCATGATTGCCACATGGGAACATATAGGAATAGGAAAAACATTCCAGATTCAGAAAAGATTAAGAAGTGCAAATTTCATTTGTGCGCAAAATTCCACGTACAGATCTGGAAATTCCTCATGAAAGTGGAATTTTATTTCAATTCAAGCAGACAGGCAGTGAAGAACAGGAGAAAGGATCCGTAGACGGCTTCACCAGTGACCTCACTGCAGATTGTGGAACCATATCCAGTCTTATAAGTAGTCTGAGGCTCAGAGAGCCCACCTACATAATGAAGGGCTCCGCCCAGATGACTCCCAGATGGTTGTCAAGGGATACAAAACCTGCAGAAGACCCACCATCTAAAGGTCTGGCTCAGTGGTACAGATGTGGCTGAGGACATTTTCTTCTATTTCTTAAATCATCCAGCATTGATGTGGGTGACTCAACCAGAAGTTGGGGTCCACTAGTCTGGGCACTCTTAGGGTTCAATTATACATAGTATTTTACATCATTGGCTAGTACCTTGCCTGAATTTCACGTGGGAAAGAACCTGGTTCTCCAGTACTGTAGCATGCTATCCAACCTAACTGAACTGTGGGTCAGTTCTAATTGTTAAAGCCAGCTAATGACAAAAGCTAACTCAGAGATTATGATTTAGGTTTTACTTTCTGAAGAAATCAAGAATTAGTTTGTTTCTACTTTTACTTACATCATTGGCTATGGGGAATTCAAATGTTACAAAATTTGGTTTTTGTTTTTTACTGTAATTTTCACTTCTATTTCGCTGTAGCATTTTGTCTCAATTTTGTTTGATTCAAAATGGTGTATCATTTGTTCTCATTCAATTTACAAATCAAGAACAGAGCACTGCATCAGAACAAGTGGAGCTGGATCAGAACAATGCTGTATCACTTCCTCAGAAGCAGCAGGACAGTAAGGAGAGGAGCTCTCCCATTCTGCTGGTCATGCCACAGAAGTCACCCCGAGTGCCCCCACAGCAGGTCTGCAGATGCCACGTCAGTGCAGTTACCCTTCCACCTCACCTCATAGGTCTATTCAGGACTCCCCTGCTTTAGTATGAAATTATAAGTTATGCTTTACTGTCTGCAAGTTATGCATTAAAGCATTATAAGCTTTTAGGCGAGTGATTAATTTCTAGTTATTCTGCAAAACCCTAAAAAGGCAGGGCAGCATACAACAAAAGGATCTTGAGGGTGTCAGAGGCAGACACAATAGTCAAAAGATTAAGGCCCTCATCTATCTGTCCCACGGACCTTTCAATGCTATAGATCTGTTTGCTTCAGACTACTTATCTAAAAAAAGCCACCTAGTCCTCTACCTGCAGGCATGATTTCATGTTATTCCTGTAAACCAGGCACAAGCTTCCTTCATTACACCTTACTTCTCACGTGCAAAAAGTAATCAAATGCTTTGACAAGACAAAGCTGGCTTACTATTCTTTAATTTACTGAGTTTCAGTGATTTAAAAAAATAAGGTTTTTGTATTTTTTCATATAACATATCTGAAACTGGGATGCCTCAGATTTTATGAAATACAGTAAAGAGTAACATTTGATCAATTAAGGAAGCTATGAGCTAGCTGAACAAGCAAACACTGTATAAAAAACTCTTTAAAATGCTCACTATAAAGCACAAACGCCTCCAACAGCCAGTCAGTATTAGACTTCCCTTAAAATTGGCTAATTCCCTAAACGCATACAAAAAATAATTCAGTATTTTAAAACACTGAGGAAGAACCAGGCCCTCTCACATAAATAACCTTACTCTGAACTACCTCTTGATAAGAAATAAACCTTTTAATACAATAAAATAAGCATGATGAAGGCTACCAGGATGATAAAAACTGTTACTAAAGTGCAATTTTCAGTCATGTTTGTATTTTATTACAAACAAAAATTGTGAGAAATTGGTTCCACACCATTCTCAAGGGCTATGCTGCTCACGCATCCACACAATGCCACATGCAGTACATGCCCACGGTCTGAACCCTCTGCAGCAGGGACGATGAAAATCGGTGATACTCATATAAGACTATGTAAACGTCTGAGTTTTTTCAGCTCTTATTGATGGATAAACTTCTTTTACAAAGATGAGGCAAAATATAAACTTTACGATTCTGAGCTCCTGCATAAGAATTAACTAAAAATTGTAAAAAAAAAAAAAAAAAAAAAAAGAATAGCATGAACATGAGGCGACAGAATGAAGAGGGAGGGGAGAAAAAGGACAGGAACAGTCCCTGGGGAAAAGATAAGCCAACAAATGACTATAAAAACTTATGAAAAGCTTTGTGATTGCTGTGCTTCATAATACTTTAAAACAATAAAATAAGGCTTTGATTTCTCTAACCCTGAGATTCTTAACCTCAATACTACTGACATTTTGGGCTGGGTAATTTACCACTGAAGGCTGCTAACACTGCCTCTCCATTAGACAGATGACGGCGGCATCCCACCTCCTCTCCACCGCTGTAACCCCTCAAAAACGTCCTGAGACATTTTGTCTCATCTCACGCTCTTAAGTTTCGATTATACCCGCGCACCCAACTATTCCAGTGTTTCTAAAATCACCTGAAGGGTAGAAAGCTTAAAATTCCATTTAAAAGCAACATAGATTCAACTGAGTTTTCTAGCTACAGAAGAAAAAAGCCATTTATTTTGCTTTTGTCTATCTATAATATTAGAACTTACATAAGGTAACATCTTTAAAAAATATGAAATACCAAATCAAGTCAAATAAGTATCATTTTCAACTATTATTTCTTTAAGCATTTATTACATATTCAATCAAACAGTCAGAAGTAGTAAAATATATTCATTTTACACGAGGATAAAAGTTAATATTAGGTATCTCCATTTGATATAATTTTTATTTTTTATAAAGAATAATTGAGTGCTTAATCCATGTCCACTATTTTGTTAAACATTGGATTTATATGCATTATCTCAGAGTGTAGAGATAAGTCAATTTAATATCACATTAATTTATATAATTTATGTAAGTTAATGTCTGGTTGCAAACAATCTCTCCAGTGTATGTTGAAAGAATTTAAACACTAGAAAATCCAGTACTTGGAATGCGAGCAATATACAAATATGGCCACGATAAGAAACTGCATTAACTCTACTCGGGCAGCAGTAAAGGGTAAGTTACTCTAGTGTCTAGAGGCATTCTTAAATTAATCTTAAATGCCTAATTTACATCAATGCAGTTTAGAAAACGAGTATCTTCCACAGTTGAGAAATGAGAAAAAGAAGGCCTTATTTAATAAGCAGTGGAAAATGCACATGTATCTTATATAAAATACACGCTAGACTTTAATTATTGCACTGCAAACTGAGCTCCCTCGTTTTTAACAGCTACTTTGTTGAGCTACACAAGGTCATCAGGTGGAAGCGTACACTCTATCAGTTCCCAGCACTACTTTCGCCTCCCGTAAGACCCTACCCTTTCTTGCGGTCACTCCCAATCCGCCCACGCTTTCTCTGCTTGGCGACCACTAAACTACCTTTTGTCTCTATCGATTTGCCTATTCTGCCCATTTCATACAAATAAACAAAATGAATATGGGGACTTGATTCTTTCACTTAGCATAATGCTTTCAAAGGTTCATTTACGGTGCAGCATGGAACTGCTTCATTCTTTCTTGTGGCCAAATACTCCCTTCTTTTTTGCAGCAATTAAGCAAAGCACTTCAAGTAGCACATTTACATAAGTCACCTGAAACATTTTCAGCCATTCCTGGAGGCCTGTAGGTGGCTGGACAGATGTAATCCGGCGTCGTTGCTGCCCTTGGCCATTGGCTGCTCTTAGGTCCCCGAAAGTTGTTGGTGTTGCTGAACATGGTACAAGCCCAGTGGTACTACCAAAACAAAAAGCAAGAGCAGAAGCACAGACAGATGTTAACAACAATGAACTCTGACTTAAGAAGAAGAATGATGAGGACGATGACCTAGCATATTTCAAACATGAATCCACTTATTCCTTTAACTGCTTATTCCCAGAGAGGAAGGGTGCATAAAAACTACTTTGCTATTCTTAGAGTAAGTTTCCTCCCTCCTACATTACCACCTGTTATTATCTCAGCAATGCTAAGTGCAACCAAATGACAGCATCTCTATGGCAAAACTGCAAGCCATGATACATACGAATAATATAAAAATAATTCCTTAGTGCTGGGGTATACCACTGTGGTAAAGCATATGCTCAGCATGCCCCTAAAACCTGTATTTTAAAAAAACCAGATGTTTCCTTAGAACATACAGGCCTCACTCCGATGGTCTTCAGTGACATAATTAAATAAAAATTTAAATCTTCTTTATAAAAAGAAGTGTGAGATTATTGATGATTTTTTAAAAACAGTACAATGAAATGTTTTGGGTATTACTGGTCACTAATCCCTTAAATTTACCTTACAGCAAAAATATTTACCTTGTTCCCTAATATTTTATTGCTATTTATAAATCTAAGTATCTGACAGGAATGAGTCTTGATTAAAATGTGGTTATTCAAAATAGATATCAAGAACTTATAGGCAAAATTAAAGAAAACGAGATCATATAAAGATTCTCAATTAGAAATGTTATTTAAAATAGGTATCAAGAACCTCTAGGCAAAATTAAATGAGATCTAAACATAGTTAAAATAATTTAAACTTTAAAAAAAATTAAACATTAAACAAATCTGAACTTAAAATTTTGCAGCCTATAAAATGGAGTAAGACTATACGATCTAGTTCTAAAATTGTCTAATATACCTCAAAGTAACTATTAAGAGAAACACAGTTTTAACTGGCATAAATGTTTTAAACTTTACTTTCTAATTTACTATTTAAACAAGATAAATTATTTAAACAGGTAAATATTGAGCATTTTTAGACACTACAAAAAAAGATGCAGTTAGAATTACATTTGTAAAATAACCCTCAATTCACTATTTATGATGTAAAGTTGGTATAAATTCCAAGAACATATACAATTATATCACAATAATTGAGTATCATGCTCTAATAAATGCACTAATGAAGCAACTTCTCCTAATTTTTCTATCCTATGTACCCCAGTTTTTGTTTAAAAATGTAACTCAATCACTATATTCTATAGAAAAATCTTCATATCTGTTCCCTTCCAATCTTTTAACATTTTTGTATTTGAGATAATCATTAACAATCAACAATTTATTGTTTCTTTCAAATTCAAAGGTAAGTTCAATTTTCTCTTGCTTGAAAAATAAATATGATGTGTGCTTACAACTTAAAATTTTCTAGGAAAAAATGTAAAATCAGTTTCATCCTATATGATGTCAAACTGTCAAAAAATCACAAAAATATTAAATATATACATTAGTAACTGACAAAGCCTCCAAAAAGATGGAAATAAATATGCCATTAAGTCAAATTTTGCTTTAGTAAAATTATACATGAATAGGCAATTGTTTTCTCAATATAAAAAGTGAGCAACTAAAGACAAATTTTACCAGAACATGTTTTGTAATAAAAATTTACCGATTTTTATAAGCTGCCTTAAAAACTAAACAATTTAATTCTTGATATGAGCCATATTAATAAAGACCAAAATAATATGTTTTGACTGAAATTTATGTATTTAAAAAGTAGCATTAACAGTTATCATTGATCTCTGCTTTCTCATCCAAGAATACTCTATCAAGGCTAGAAAGAAAAGGTAAAATGAAGAGAACAGTTTTACTTGTCTCTCTATCTCCCCACACCCTCTGGTGGAAGAGCCAAAACATGGTGAAATTTGTCAAGGAATCAAGAAGGGAACAGTTAATGAGAGAAATATTACACAGAAAAGCAGTTCCTATCTAGCCAAAAGATAGCTTTATTTTTCTCTTTTGTGTCAGCTCTCCAGTTTTTTGCATATAAAATTACCTGATTATTACAATTTCTAAATTTTATAAAAGAACACTTGAAAGAAATATTATCCACAGTGGAATGAAACAAAATGAACTGTTTCTCTTTTTCAAAAGAGATGAATCGTAACAATGTTCAGTTCTCAAAAGCCTGATGTCTGAGAAAGTTAATCTACATTTTATAGAATAATTCTAAATCAAAAAACTTTGAGAAAAAGAACTATCATAAACATGATAGTTTCTACTGCTTTCATTTAGTTATTTAAGGTATCCACTCTACAAAAAACAAAAAATAAAAAAAGACCAAAAGAGAGCTCTTAAGACACTTTTGTCATTTAAATTTTAAAATGCAGCATTCCAAGTGACGCGCAAAGCCATTTTTAATTGGCTAGGCTACAGATATTGTGCCTAACTTAGCCTAATTAGTGTGAGAGTGGGGAAAGTTTCATACTGATGCAAAATCCAAAAATGATGGACTGAAGCAGGAAACAAGACTACAATTGTATTTAGTTGTTATGGAAACTATTCTACTGGTGCAGAAATGTACGTGTTGAAAGCATAAGATCTAGGAAGCCAATAAAAGGGAATTTCTAACACACTAATTTCATGAAACAAGATTGAATTAGTAATTGTGAGGTTTATTTCACTACTAATCAATTTATCTTCAATTTTGCATATAATAGCCACCCTACTAGAGCTGTTGCTATAGTAACAAGACACATTTGCTCATATTCTCTGGTTTACTTTATGGAATTCCTTAAAATCATGATTTTAAATTTTGTTCACAAGAGAACTTTTGCTTGTGTCTTGAATACACTTGTACAAAATATAAACTACAGTGGTAGTGGCTTCTTCCTATTTAAAGTGATAACTACTCAATTTTTAGTACAATCAACAATATTGGTAAGTTATCCTATGAGAACAAACATAAAGCAGTGCTTCCAGAATCATCAAATCTAAAAGCATGAGAACCATGAGAGAATCAATTATTACATTTAATATTACCTTGTATATTCTGAGACCTTGCACGGTTTCTTTCCCAAAGAAAAGGAGCGGACCTCAGAACCATGGTCCAACTTTCTTTTCATCTATAAGGTAAAGCAAATAAAATATGTTTTAAAAAAATCACCTGTCCAACTATCAAATCCTGTAGCACTGTAATATTTTTAAAAATTCTTAAATTTTCATGTGCCTATAGTGCACATTTTCATGTGCCTATAGGTAATTAATATAGACAAGAATTGTTTCATAGTTTCTTTGATTTATTCTACTTTGTTTTATTAACCAATTGAAAAGGTAAATCTACCCCCTAAAATATTTTGTCCAGAACAGTGTATAGTGATTGAAAAACTGATATTAACCATATATATTCCTTGAGAGGATATAACCATATATATATATAACCATATATATTCCTTGAGAGTTTAACAGCCAGCATCAGGGAAAAAAAATCTCATGTTAATTTATATAGAAAGGAACCTCATTTAACATGCCTTTCCACTAATCTTCATTTTTCTTTAAAAATAATTTTTAATAAAGGTAACAAACAAAATATCAAACAATGGAAATTCACTAAATTCTAAATGCCTATATTATAAAAGAGTAAAAAAGTAACTGAGTTCTGAATGTTATTTTTATTATTATAAAAGGGTAAAGAAAGCAGTATAAATGAAATAACAGACAATGATGACGGTAGAGCATATAATTAACATGAGTAATACAGATAGTTAAAAAAAGTAAATCCATAATGAGAGAGAAGTCTGGAAACAGCATAACAAGCTATGGGAAAAGTCATCAATTGCTATAGACACAGAATAGAGCTCTGCTGGCAGATACTCTGGATAAAATATTCTAACCCGAAACAAGAACAACACATTTGAAAAGAATGAACTACGCCTCTTCATAAGATATATCAAGCATTTACATTTTTAGCTATCTCATTATGCATGTTACACTATAAATATATTCAAAAATGCATTTTGTCAATGCCAATATTGAAACACTTATTTTTATATCTCACTATCAATTAATTGATATAATTTTACTATATTTATCTTAAAACTCAAAAATAAGATCTGATGAAACTCAACTTTTTCTTTTTCAACATTTTTCAGATTTGCATTCACTAATTACTGTATGACTGCAAGTTTTGGGGGGCACCTAGAGTGATAAACAGTTATTCTCATTTCTGCAGTAAGGTGAAAACTCACCTTACACCAGGTTTATTTTCCTATTTCCTCACATGGGAACCCACAACACTGTATGATACAATGTAAGTACTAAAGAGAACTAAAGAGACCCTAAAAATCTTTTAGAGCCACAGTAAAGACTTGATCTTTAAAATCATAACGAAAGCCTTCTACTCAATGCAGGATGATCTTACATTAGAGGGTGGAGGTGAGGGTACACCGAGTCTATCCACAATTTATACCTTAGTTCATAAAATAGCTACTGGGAAAAATGGAACTGGTCTGGATCTTTCCTTCAGAAGTTTCTGTTCTGTACTAATCATTACGTTATTTTAAAGTAATCCTTCTCAAAAACCATTAATTTCTTTCTCTACATAATTTTATTAAAAACCAAACATAAAGTATTATAAAAACGTGTATTATAAAAGCTGTAAAATCTAGGTACCCACGTGCTTCCACGTGTATAATTTATAGACACACAGACCTGCAAATGGATCCATCATGAAAGTCAGTCAGTAGGAATTATCTTACAATCAACTTTTGGGATAACTTTTGTAGATTATTTTTATAATTATTATGAGAAACTAACATTCATTCTAATGAAGTTGGTAATACTAGCTATCAGAACTTCCCAGGGCATCTTGTAAATACATTGCTGCAAATGCCATTTGCCACTGAAAGCAAACTTTATTTCCATCTTGAAGATCTCTCAATGAATAAAAATGCCCCAAATACATTTTATGAAAAACATGAGGATTTTATTTTTCCATTATTTTATACAACACTGCATCTTCTGAAGTCTTTCAAATATTGTACTGTTTACTGAAGATACTGACTTTACAACCCAAAATGAATCCTGCAAATTTTTGAGGGGCACAGAAAGTAAACGTAATCTCCTTAAATATAAATCCTCCAATTCTAGTGATTCCAGACTTTTAGAGCCAACTCATAGAAAAAGAAAAATAAATATAAGGTACTGAAAAATTGAAGGCAAATGCTTCACTGAGAGCCAACTACGGCTACAGTATTTCCAGGTCAGCATTTAACGGAGGCACATTTCTGAAGTCTGAATATATTTTTAGTGAAAAATTCTGATTCAAATACATATTTTATTGGAAAGGCAAAGCTTTCCCCCCGCGCACGTCGTTTCTCCATTATTTGCTTACATTCATGAAATAAGACAGAACCCCAGACACCCAGCCACCCACCAAAATCAGAGGATACTGCAGCCATCTCTGATGATACAGATTCTCCTCGCCAGGCAGGCAGGCACACGCACACAACCACACAGCCCAGGAGAAAGACAGATTACTTACTTTGTAAAAAATCATTTTTAGCGTGCCGTAGAAACCCATATTTTCTGTATTTTTCCCCTTCAGGGACTCTGTGCCCCCGTGCGTCCGGCTGCTGGGCAGTCTCTGGCAGTACAGCCCCTTTTCAGGTAGGTATGTCACAGATTCTAATGTGGACATGCTCAGGCACGTCAGAAAGGGAAGACCGGGGAGCAGAAGCGGCCACCAAACTCCACCGCACAGGCAAACGCAGCTCAGCAGCAGCCCGCTGCCCGGGACACGCATACATACATGAGCTCGACTGAGGAGAACTCGAGGGAATAATGAGAGAGAACCAGAAGATTATTGGAGGAGACGCTGCCCTGTCAAAGCCTCCACTGAAGAGATTCCTCCCTCGGCAGCAGAGGGATCAGATTACATCTTCCCTTGAACGCGGAATGGTGCAGTCCAGGATTCAGCAATGCAGACTGCACATCAATTATACGCTGATCCGCTCCAGGGAACCCGTGAGCGCACGGCGGGCGCAGAACCGGGGAGACGTGGGCGGCAGAGCCCGCCCCCGCGCCGCCCCCTCCCCTGCCCAACTTTCAGAGGGCAGCGTCGGATTGGGGAGACCGGCGTTTTTCTACAGCTTCACATAGCAAGCAACAGCTCCACAAATAAGTCCTTCCAGAAACATTCTGAAAATGAAATAGATTTTCACGCAGCCCCCCGTCCCCGCCCCAAACAGGAGAACAGGCTATTTTCACCAAGTGTCCTCCAATGGAGTCCTTGCGTGGGTTGACCAGATTTCTCAAGTAGCCTGGATGGTATAAAATGGGCAAACCCAAAGGGACAGATTAAATATTCTTTGGGGAACTGACAATAAAGTAAACCAGTTTGGAGCATACAGCATTTGCAGAAACTACGTAATCTAAATTACATTTCAAACTGCATGTCTCATGTTGAAGATGTGATTAAAGTATTCCCTGTGATTTTCCATTTCATTCCTTAAAAACACAGTTTTGAAGAAAATTACCATAAACTGCATTAATTCTTAGTTATCGCGAGACTAAGTGTATAAAATTGGTCCGAAAGACTATCTTCCCTAACAAATGCTGGACCTACTAGAGTTTTACCCCCTTGTTTGTTAATTTAATCTTGAGTAGAAAGGAGATTGGATTTACACCTCCAAAGCTACTTTCACAAAGTATACTGTGTATCATTAAAGAAGCATTTTATATAATAGCAAAAGTAATGTTTGCCTGAGGCAATATTTTTCTTAGGATTATACAAATTCAGGTATTTTATTTTGCAACTTGCTACATACTAGCTCTGGAGGCAATTATATGATCCCTTGTACTAGTAGAAAGGCCCATTATTAAAGGTCTAGTTAATTAACTCCTACCCTCCCCATTAACATTCTTTATTACAAGTAAACTGTGAGGATATAGTTATTTAAAGTACTTAGCAAGTGCCTTCTCAAAAAAAAAAAAAAAAGAAAAGAAAGAAAAAAAATACTATTTGGGCTAACCACATCTTAATACTCTCTGCTCTGCTGGTAAATAGCTTTCTTTAGTAAAATGACCTGAAAGATAGTATAAGGTAGTATCATACTTTAAAAAATGTTTACCTTTCTAATTAAGACACCAGGTAAGGTCTTCTACTTTAAAATGCCAATGAATATAACATAATGTAAGACTTTATGAAGATACACACCCTTGATCTTCTCCTGGAAATTATACTCTACTGTCTACTAGCTTTATAAACTCTACTAGTTTTTCAATTCTTTCCTCAGAAACAATAGGTAATATGTACTGTGCTCAGTAAAAATCAGCTTGCTAAATAATCAAGTAGCTCACTTCAAAGAGAAGTCCTTTATAAACTGAAATCTTCATTTTAATGAAAAAAAATGTTTAAAAATCCTCTATGAAACGCTACAACACCTTGGATTAGGGAGGAAAAGTGGCTTTTCTCCCTGGGTTATCTGAAGGAAACAACTGTAATCCAAACATCTGAAATTTCCTCTAGAATTTATCATGGCAACTTGCTTGTCATATGACCAGTGGCACACTAGTGATTCAACAGGATACAGTTTGCCTTTAACTGAAATCATATCCTACCTTCCGGGAACATGGACAACTTTAATGAGGTGGGGGACACTGTCTCCAAATCTACAATGTTTAAAGACAAAATATTCCTTGGTTTTGTATATTCAAAGGAATGTTCCCATTGTTACCCTTACACTTATTGCTATAAAGTTGCACAAAAACCTGTTCCCATAAATATTTATATATAGACATGGATAGTCATGTTTTATTTTTTAAAAGGTAAGCTATTTAGATGGTCAAAAATCAAAATCATACACAAAAAAGAGTATCCTGAAAAAGTCTCTGCATTATCACATCCTGCAACTTCCATGGTTTTCCCTTGGGAATGATTTTTACATATCACTTTGTACTTTACGTGAAAAATATATATGGTTATAATTTCTATCAGTAAAGACCTTATTTTCCCAACTATTTCAACAGTTCTCCTTCCTATCTTGTTTACAATATTAATTTAACTGTCAATAATTTGCCAAGCAAAGCTAATCAATCAAGCCTGTGATTGAATTTCAAAGTAATA